CCCCAAAACCCCAAAACCCCAAAACCCCAAAACCCCAAAACCCCTTACCAGAGCTTGTAGATGGAATGTTAGTTAAGTTAATTAAATATTAGGCACTTGTCGATCCAGATAATCTCTCAAGGAGTTGTAAATTCTTTTGGGCTCTTTCACTATTTTCTTCTCAAATAAATCCTCCTGGAATTTCATCACAATTTTGTTCCCCTTCACAGGTCAAGGATCACAGTGTGAGAATGTTTGGATTCGAGTAGAGCCATCTGGGAGTTCCCGGAAAATCATTATTTCGAAAAAGTTACACAACCGGATATAATTTGGGTCTTCAGGGAAGATTTCATTGGGGATTGTACTCGTGAAGCTGATGATCACATCATTAGCTTTATGATCTTTGTGTTTATTTCCTAATTGTCACATATGGTTGCATACCTTCTGTAGCCTAGGATCTTTTTGTCTTCTTCGCTACATCTGAAGATTACCTAAATCCTGTCAGAATGAATGAATTGCTATTACCTTATTTCTCGATCGAATCTTCTGGTAGGGTTACTTTAGTTACTGGAGCGAACCTTGTACGGTAGATAAACCCATTAGTTGCAAAATTTTGGAAAACTTGCAGACCATCAATAGTCTCATCCCATTCAGGTCTTTTATGGATATCATTAAGTGCAGTGACTACCATCTCAAAGGGATATGCATTAGTAAGTGTAGTTCCAACAGATACAACTTTGATCTTAGATTGGCGCAAAAGTATATCTAAATTCAGAATTATGTCTAATTATAAACCTTGAATTTTCCCCAAAATGGCGTGCCATACCTTCTGTGCTGGGTAAATACCCAGAATGTACTTCCATTAAGCATTCATTATCCTGGTGGCTTCCTTTAGCTTCCTTGTCCTCGAGGCGTCTTCATAACTTGATGAGTTTTACCACATAGTCAGTATTAAAGTTATTTCAGCCTTTGAAATTACTTGGCTAGCTTACCTTTATTATAAGTCGGGCTCACATTCAATTCAAAATAGTTATTTCAGGCTTGGATCAATATCGTCAAGATCTGTGAAATCGTATATCTCTTCTTCACTAACTTTTGATGAGATTTCTAAAAATTATAATAATTTCTATAATAAAATTGGGGATTTCTGGTCTGAAAGAAGCTATTCAAAAGTCTGGTAGACCTACCTTCAGGGAACCCTCAGTTAAAGGTATGCTTTTGTTCCTCATCAGGAGAGTTAGAGCCGAAGCTGTAGCTTCTTTTACGGCCTATAAAGAGATGTCAGAGGGACTAAGCAGAAATTTTGAGAAATTTACTTTTCTTAGGCTCAGCATCTAAAAATTGGTGCAATCGAAGTTTTGTGTCCTTTGTTTCTTCAGTTGAAGCTCTTGGAATCGAAGAAGGACGGAACAGTTTGTTCATGCCAATTATGGTCTTCTTCGAAGAAGTACTCCTGTGTTCAAAATCATCTTTGGAACCTAGAAGACATCTAAGATTTGATTCTAGAGAGAATTTTACCATATTTCTTGAACCTTGTCCTAACTTTTGCTACAATGTCTATACAACCAGTCGTGTCAGCTCATTCAGGGATGGAAATAAACTGATGAAAACTTTTCGCACATATTGTTTACCTTCAAAATACTTCTTATCTCTTCCACTAACTCAACAGCTTGCTTGCCCCATTATATATTTCAATTAAATATATCAAATTTGGGGTTTTGGGGTTTTGGGGTTTTGGGGTTTTGGGG